GGTGTTGTCGGAGTTCGGATTTTCAAACTCTGCCAAAAGAGACCAAATATAGCCTTCCAAAACCTGTAGTTTTTTTTTTAGTATAATGGAAATGAGTTTGAATTGGGGCCCAGTCAAAATTGCTCTATGAGGTCCGGCCTTGAAACCGACTTTGTTTTTTGCCCGGCCCATATTACTATACGGCTTTGGATTCAGGCATTTTTTTGTTCAACTAGGAAAAGGATGCCAACGATGGCTACCTTGAGCCCGCGTACTAGGCGGGCCACTCAAGGCTAGCCAACATATAACGTGCATCGTATTGAGCTCCAAGCAAAAAAAAAGTGTACATTCGACTAAAAAAACACAAATAAAATGGAGATGGATCGATGTGGACATGCAACCAGAAAATGGAATATTCTTGGTGGCCAACAATTTACTTGAGTGGCAAAACCGAACCCTTAAAGACATATCATTACCTTGGAGGTCATAGAAAACCTCCAAGGAGCACGGGCGGAGCCTCGTGGAGGCTAAACTGGGCTCCGGCCCCCCTTTATTTGTGACAGTTTCGACTGAGTAAATCTTGTTTGCTTGTTGCACTCTGCATGCCACCATGCATGCATGCAAGCACACCAGATGCACTATCTCCCCGCGTCAGCCCCCTATTGATTACTCTTAAATTTAGCATGTTGCTGCTACACCCTCTGTGCTCCGACATTAATAGAATATGAGACACAAAGTGTTGTAGTACAATTTGATAACTACGTACTGATAAACATGTTTAGCTCATTTCAAACTCTGCATGAGCACAGTCTGTACAATCATACTAGTAGTAGTATCATTTTCCAAAGTACTCCCACTCTCACGCTCAGACATGAAAGTGTGCACCAGCCTAGGAAGTGTTCACCAATAGCCATGTTGAGTTTTATGTAGCTCTGCAAAACATAGCAATTGTGAAGTTCCTTTTAATAGCCATTTGTATCGTGCAATACTGAAATGCACCCCCCCCCCTTAATTTCACCTCACCCTCCGCCACTGCAAGGAGATACATATGTCTTTATTCTTTAGTACTAACTCAAATTTCTAAGGTAACTCCATATGTTTTGGAGTGCTAGTCCAAAGCAGCGAGGTAATTTTGCATTTTCTTGAGTGTTGTTACGAACCGACAAGGTAATTTAAATTTTTCTAGTGTCACTCTAAATCGCCAAGGTAATTTTATATTTCTTGAGTGTTATTACAAACCACCAAGTTAATTCAACATTTTCTTGGGTGCTATTCCCCACCGCCAAGAAAAACTCATAGTTCGTTCGCTGTAATTGAAAACCACCAGTTTTCTTGGGTGCTAACACAAGTAAATCGACGTAGCTGCCAAGAAAAGAGTATCCATTTTCTAGTCATTCCTCTACCACCAATATAATGGACTCATTACATTCTTGTTAGTTAGACATTGTATTTATAGACATAAATGCTCCCTTGACAAGTTTATGAAATGAAATACATTTTTTTCTTGGTATATCAATCCATCTAAAGGTGCAATTTTGAGTTGTTATGCATTAAAGAGTGCATATTGGCGCTTAGCTGGAGATATAGTTAATTTTAAAGCAAGCATGCAACATAGTAATATCAGACTAAGGCAAAGTTTATATCAAAGTTGTAGAACCCCAAGGGATATAGACCTTTATATTTGATCACTTATTCATCTGAAATCATTTAGAGTACAAAAAATTATGTTATAAGATCTCACAGTTTTGAAATTATTTTTTGCTTAATTTTCGGAACGACCCTGGATGGAGATACAACGTAAAGCAAAGTTATAGCACTCACGGGATATAAAACTTTTTAGTTCAAACCTTTTCCATTTGAAGTTGTCTGGGTCTCAAATATTTATTATAAGATCCACTAAAGTGAATATAAAAAGAAAGAAACATTCACTTAGTCAAAAGTGACTTTGCTGTGGAGTGGTGAGTGAATTTTGACATGAAACCTTAGGTTGTAGGTTTGATTCCTGACAATGTTGCGGTCATCGTATATGTATCTTTGGAGGTCATCATATACGTGGATGCTTTCCTAGCGCGCGCGGGTACGTACTGATCGAATGTTGCGGTAGTGCTAGCTTCGGCGGTTCCGTTGTTTTATCATCACGCACCGAAAAAGGCGAAAACGCTTGAGACAAGTTGCTGCGGTGAAACCAAGGTATGTGCCAGCGATTGTTAGCTGGTGCGTCAATATGAGAGATGGCTCGATTTTGATGATGAGCAGATTTATCGATCCGTCACAGTCGTACAGGCAGTAGATAGCAGTAGATAGAATCAACCGTTTGTTGAGGTCGTCGACGAGAGGAAGGTTCGTTCTCTCGTCCAATGAAGCTAAGTCCAATGTGGACGACGGGCATGGCGTGAAGTCGTGGGAGCTGGTGGGCAGCATGAAGGCGTCGTGGCCGGAGCTGGTAGGCATGGCGGCGACGCAGATCATGCACGACAGGCCTGACTTCGCCGTGGAGGTGATCCCGCCGGGCAGCAAGGTGCACCGGCCGGACCCGCAGGACAACCCCAAGCGGGTCCTCGTCCTCATCAACATCCCCTACGTCGGCTAAGTAGCTAGATATGATGCTAATAACTCTTCTATATTTATAATAAATAATACCACTGGGCACTGGTCGAGCCGGCAGTACGTCCAGCAATACTGCGTGCGTGCATGCATGCATTGCGTGGCTCGTGAATGAATTGAGATGAGATGCATCGCTAGCTAGCTCTCTTCTCTGTCACCGGCCCTGTGTACGTGTGGCGTACGTCGTATACGTATTACTTCCTGTGCATGGTCTAGCTAGCTGTGTACCACGCGCGTGAGTTTAATAATCACACAAGAATTAATGTACATATACGGCGATGGTTCCTGCGCAGCGCAGCGCGTTGGTTCCAACACACATGACATGCACGATCGAGAATTTGATGAGAGTGTACGTATCACTCCGCTAATAAGCCATAGCAAGTGAGTTGTCTTTTTAGTTATACTAGTTAATTATCTAAGTTTTTTTAATAAAAAATTCAGACACTCAAATATGGCAACTCCCATACTCTTCTAGGCTCGATCCAGTTGTGCTTAGAAAAAAGGTCCTCGGAGGGCTAGGGATAAGCCATCCCATGGCTCCCCCTCATGGTGCTCCCAGCCCATGCCTACCCCTCCATTGCTGTCAATCCTAGCCCCGTGACCACCAAGACCACCCTAGCCTCTATGGCGGTGGCCACCGCCATCATATTTTTTCTAGTACAATGTTAGTCTTCCTTCTCCTTTTTTCCTGTCGCAATCCCCTTCTACCTAGATTCAGTTTGCCGCACAAAGCTTCTATGCTAGATAGTTTGACTTCGTCCCAAAATCCTCAGGTGACGAGTTGTCAGACTTTGGCTATCAGGTTGTGGTTCTGAGTTATGGTGGCGCAAACCTGAAGGCCTCCTCCTCCAAGATGGTCTCAAGGCCACAGGTGCGCTCCACCGACGTCCAGGCAACAAGCACGCCAGGAGTACTATCCATTCATCGTATCCCTAAACCAGGTTCTTAAGGTAAAATTGGGAGCCCTATTAAAAAAAACTTTAATCTACTCCATGCAAGCAATAAAACATCACATACTATCAAAACCACAATGTAATTTGCTAGAAATTAAATGGGTTCAAAGAATCCAACCTTTTGGAAGATGGATTCACCACAATTTGAATGCCTTCCTCAAGATCTAATTAAAAAGTGCTCTCCAAAATAGAGAAATAACTAACATGAGAATCAAGCAATCTAGCCATTAAAACAATTGAAAAGCTATAAATTCAAAGAAGTAGATGCTTGTTACTAATGTTAAAGCAAGAAGATCATACCCATCCTTCAAAATCCAAGACCTTTCATGAGAATTTTGGTGAAAAATGGCCACAACAATGGAGGGAGAGGTGGGGAAACACGCCTCCTTGGATGAGTGTGCTCCGAATGGGAGGGAGGAGGGACGAGGGTTTTGTACAATGTAGAGCTAGTAGTTGTGATAGGCTCTACATCATTGTCGGCTCAAGCCACGAGCATGCAGTGACATATCACTGTCGGTTTAAAATTACAAGCCAGCAGTGATGTGGAGCCTATCACTACCGGCTTGTGGCTTGAGCCATCAGTGATATGTCACTGTTGATACATGGCTTCAACCGGTAGTGATAGGGACCATCACTATCGGTTCTTTGGGACCCCAATCATTTATTGATTTTCAAGTTATGAATCGGCATTGAAGTGTTATCGGTGCCGTTTTGAGAGCAACTGGCAGTGATGGGATGGTAGTAAAGGTCATATATGTAGTAGTGTGGTGCGCCGACCCAACACCTACCCCGCTGTTGCCGTCAAACCTGGCCCCATGACCACCTAGACCAACCTAGCCTCTATGCTGGTGGCCACTGCCATCACACTTTTTGCAAACAGCGCGGTAGTCTTCCTGCTCCCTCTTTCTTGTCGCAACCCCCCTTGCACCCTGGTTCAGCATACCACACAAATTAAAACTTCTACGCTAGATAGTTTGACTTTGTCGAGGGCTCCTTGGGCGATGAGCCGTCTCCCTTTGTCTATCGGGTTGTGGTTTTGAGGTATGACGCAAACCTAAAGGCCTCCTCCTACAAGATGGTCTCAAGGCCACAGATGCGCTCCATCGACGTCCAGGCGACAAACACACTAGGAGTACAATCCCTATATCATATCCAGAGTAAGAGCAAACTAAGGTTTTGGTTTTCGCACACCATATGCCTTTGGATCTGCTGCCGTGCTCTGAAAATTAAATTGGTTGTCTCTGAAAATGAAAACACCAGGCACATATATTTTTCACACACATGTATCATACACGCCACTAGAACATACTAACTTCCAACTACAAAACGAGATGGGGATCATGATTTTTTTATATATCTCTTCACCCCAACTTGACCTAGGCTACATGAAAGCTAGCTTTTTTATTGTTATAGGATAAGATTATTATTTCTTTGTACTAGAACACATGTCCACGAGAGGATTCATTAGGAGACGGTCGAATAGAAGTCCTCAATTATGATGCGGACCGCGATCGGGATCCGAACCCAGTGGCTGCCTCCATCGTGCCATGCTAAGCTGCCAAACGTGTAGTCACCCTGAATCCACCGCATCGCCTTGAACACCACCTTGAAACTCTGAACCCTTCTCTCCTTGCTGAACACCAGAACTGATGGCTCGACGGACATCTCCACACCAGGAGGCGGCTGGAAGAATGCTTTGTACACTGCATCAGGCTGGCCAACATTGGTGACAGTGCGCATGACAGTCTCGGATGCCTTGAGATTAGGGATCGCGATCGATGGAAGGTTGAGGTCTGCTACAGATGCCTTAGGAGTCGTGCAGTTGTTGTTGACACCCAGTCCTCCTGCGCATTGGAAGAACCTGAGATAATCTGATGGATCAATGTCATAGATAAGACCTGGATCGTCGGCCTTGCTTGGGTTCACAAACCCTGCACCGTAATCGAAAGGGTCGGCAATTTTTACTGGAGTTCCATCTGCTTTTATTGGGAGCCCATTGTTGTCAGTGCTAAGTGCTGCAAGACATGGATGTTTAAGGCAATAATTAGTTACCAATTTGAACACGATTGTTTGGTCCAACAGTATTATCTGTGCACTATGGTTATCTTAAATACATACCAGTTGTCATGAGTGCCGATTTCAGGGCAGCAGGTGACCACTCAGGATGCACTGATTTAAGCAAGGCGACAATCCCAGACACATGAGGGCAAGACATGGATGTTCCAGAAGAAAAATAGTAGTGAACACCCAGAGCTTTGTAAATAGGTATTTGTGGGGCAGCTGCCAAAATGGTCACCCCAGGTGCAGCTATATCAGGCTGTTGATTGGAATGTATAGCACATTAGTTCAATGTGCAATGTTGACGAAATTATTGCAGACAATTGAATGAAATTAAATATATATAATTAAGCTAATCATGGTTTCATTAATTGACTAAAGTTCCAATTCCACGTATAAATGGCTTCCAACATCGACCAACATGCTTACCTTAAGAACCCCAGGATAGACGGGGCTAGGCCCTCTAGATGAAAACGCTGCTACCTTTGGGGCAGGAACTCCACTTCCAATAGTTGTTTGGGTCAAAGATATCTTTGCTTTAGGAGTATCACTTGTTGTTCTGTTATTTCAGCAAAGGAAAGGAAATGATTAGAAGCAAGGAAACAATATAGCATGAATGCATGCATATACGAATTGCAAGAAAAGGACTTGAATGTTAATACCAACATATGAATCACAGTATCCTATTGGTAGAATGGCGCAACATGATTTTAGGCCATATATATATACTCTCTAATATGAAGTTACAATATTTTTCTTGAGAGTTGGAATTAATCTCTACATACTTCAGGTATTGCAACATCTGGTTGGCGATCTCCAAATCAACAGCAATGAAAGGAATCCTCGTGCTGTAGTATTGCCACTGATCAAGACCATCCATGTTATATTGTGAAAATATGAGCCCTTTCCCTCCATTTTTAAGCAGTATTGAAATAATATCAGACAATTTTGGCGGTGGAGACATCTTGCTAGGTGTGATGCAGAAGATGATCTTTCCCTTTACATCTGTGCTGTTTATGTAGGCAGGGTCACACCTGTAGGTTTTTAGTAACATAAGTACTACATAGAGGAAGACAAGGTTACAGTGTAAAATATATGTTATGGAAAAAACTGAACTTAAATGTAAGTGCGGAACTAAAATGCCTAACAACAAAGATGTTGTTCAGAAAATAGCCTTACGTTTGAGCATCATAAGCTAGAACTTCATAGAAATGATCTGCCCCTTCTGTTGCCACAAACAAAGATTGACCCTGTAAGAATAGTAGGTAAAGAAAAATGTGTCTAGTTACTTGTTGAACTTAAATGAATAAATACCAGAAAACATAACATAAATAATAATAACTCCATACTTCCATGTGGAAAAAGACTTGAATTTACATATGCATATATAATGTAATCAATCTAAAGTTTGTGACTACATTTTGCAGTAACATTTCCATCGAAAGGCTATATATATACAAAAGTGTGTATGTTTGTCCCTATCTAGATGTGTAAGAAATTAGAAATTGACGTACCACAAGCCTTTGTTTGTTGCCAAGGGTGATAACCGTGGGAAATAAGCGATCAACAGTTGTTGCTGCAACTGTTAGCAGCCACGGCGACACATTCTCCACCGTCTGGGTGACAGGACCATCGTTTCCAGCTGAGAAAACAACTGTGATGCCATTCGCGACGGCGTGCAATGTGCCAGGATATTCTGATGGCCCCCCAATAGACAGAGATAATACATCAACACCATCGTGAATGGCATCGTCTATGGCTTTCATGATACCAGCGCCACTGCATGAGCCATGAGTTGGAAATGCACCCCAGCAGACCTTGTACACAGCCAGCCTGGCACGAGGAGCACCACCACGCGCCACGCCGCGCGCTAACCCATTAAAGCTAACGTTGTGGACAAGGTTGCCAGCAGCTGTTGAGGCAGTGTGGGTTCCATGGCCATTGGCATCCCTGGGAGACAAGAACTCACCATCCAGTAGGCTTTTGTCAATGTCATCAGCAGCATACCACCGTGCACCTATGAGCTTTCGATTGCAGTTGTTTGGGCCAAACGAGGCACCAGCTTGGCAAATTCCCTTCCATTTTGGAGGAGGGGGGCCATAACCATCTTCAGCAAAGCTTAACGATTCAGGCCAAATACCTGAGAATGCATTATTATAACTTAGAGAACAGATAAATTAAAATGTTACTCCCTAGTCAGTCAGTCAAAGTCCCATTATTATAGGTACTTCTATTTTGTTTCACTGTTCCAGGAGATATCTCTCTTGAGTCGTTTGGAGCATGAAAATATAGTTCAGTATTTTGGAACAGATAAGGTACTAAACTCATTTCTATAGTCATGAAATTCATTTCTAGAATAAAACTATGATAAGCATACATTTATTTTCTATATTAAAATTTTCTTTGTGTGGTGATTGCTTTGTTGTGCTCCGTTTTGACTTAATTTATCAGATAAAAGCACCAACATCTAGGACACCAAATTAGTATCATTAGATAAATCATGAAATACTTTTTATAATATACTATTTGGTGTTAAAGATATTAACTATTTTTTTATAAAGTTTGTTAATGTTTAAATAGTTTCACCTAAAAGGACAACCCGGCTCAGTTTGCATTTTGAGCTACTGCTTTCGTGATTTAACATGAAACATTTGTAGGCAAGATAATCAGCTCAGAGGATATATTAACAGATCATGAGGATAAAAGAACAGGGGGACAAAAGTTTGTGGAAGGGAGAATATGCACACTATTAGTATTCCACCTAGCATCTACAATATTTCTTCACAGTCTTTCCACATAAATCATATCTTTCTGTAAAGGGTTTCAAAATCATGTCACAAAAGACTTGACACAAGTTGTACCAGCAAATTGCATATGTAATAACCTGTGTCAATGACACCGACAATGATGTCCTCTCCATTTTTAGCTTTTGTAAGCAATCCATTTGGCTGATTGTAGTCCAGTCTGACAAAGTCCCAGCTTCGAGTTGTATGTGTGCGGTAGAATTGGTTTTTTGTAACACTAACCACGCCTGGCAGGGCTGCAAGAAAGAGCACACATTCACTATGATTATAAGAAAAATCATATGTTGTGGAGTGTTTCTAGTAGAAACAATATAATTACCTGCAATCTTTCTAGATTGTGATTTTGTTAGCAATGCAGAAAATCCGGAGAATCCATGCCTGTAACTATAGATAATTGACTCTAGAGCTTCCTCCTTGCTTCAAAATTATAGGCGGTTCCATAAGTTAGCTTTTGTAATGAAATACTGAAATTTGTGTGTGCAAGCAGCACATTTTCAGTTGGCTGTGTTAAGTACAGGCTCATTAGTGCGCGTGAGATACACTACTACACAAACAATTTTCTTTAAAAAAGGTGTTATAGGCAGTTCCATAGTATGATCGCCCTCTTGGGTCCAGAGCTGTCTAAATGCCCATGACCATTTTCTTTTAAAAGAATGTTACAGATACGCCTATGAATAACTTACAAGTTCAAAATCTGCGGAGTGTTTTTATGTTTGTCGAGTGTATTTTCTCGGGCACTCGGCAAACAAGATCTTTGCCGAGTGCTGCGCTAAAAACACCCGGCAAAAAAAAAAACACTCGGTAGAGAGGAGGTTTACCGAGTGTAAAAAAAAACACTCGGCAAAGAGGAGGTTTGCCAAGTGTTTTTTTTACACTCGGCAAATAAGTAAAATCTTTTTTTCTGGGAAAGAACGAGAAGAAAAAAAAAATGAAAAAAAAATTGCCGAGTGCCTAGATTTAGGACACTCGGCAAAGAAAGAATATCTTTTTTCTAGAAAAGAAGGAGAAGAAAAAAAATAAAAAAAACTTTGCCGAGTGCCCAGATCTAGGACACTCGGCAAAGGAAAAAAATATATTTTCTAGGAAAGAAGGAGAAGAAAAAAACTTAAAAAAAGCTTTGCCGAGTGCCCAGATGTAGGACACTCGGCAAAGTAAAAAAATCTTTTTTTAACCGCACGGCCCCCTCCCCTTCTCCCCGCGCCACGTCCACACGCCCCCTCCCCTTCTCCCGCCTCCCTCTCCCTCTGGCCGGATCCGTGGCCCAGCCACCCCCCTTCCCCGCCGCCGCCCCTCCCCTTCTCCCAGCCGTCGTCCCCGCCCCTCCCCTTCCCCGGCCTCTGCCACCCTCCTTCCCCGCCCGCCCCCTCCCCTTCTCCCGTGCCGCCCCTCCTCCTTCCCCAGATCACGGTGGCGGCCCCCTCCCCTCCCGGCCGGATCTGCGGCAGCCCGCCACCCCCTCCTTCCCCGGCCGCCCCCTCCCTTCTCCCGGCGCCGCCCCCTCCACTCCTTCCCCAGATCCGATGGCGGCCCCTCCCCTTCCCTCCCGGATCCGGCGGCGTTCCGACGGCCGCCCCTCCCCTCTCCCGGATCCGGCGGGTGGCTTGGTGGCGGGTGGCGTGGTGGTGGGCGGCGTCCGGCATGGGGCTTGGTGGCTGTTAACACTGGATTTTGGTCAATTCGGAAGATGACAGGTGGACCCACGTGCGGGAAGAAGAGTGTTCGACAAATAACATGGCGGTCGGCTAAATGCTTGTGCGGTCGGTTATTCGGAAGGCGGTAACTCCATTCGGGAAAGCAGAAGATGGCAAGCAAAGCCGATCGAGAAGATGAAAGTTGTAATAATAAAGGACTCTGAGAGTTTGGGGCAAGGAATCGTAGTTTCCAAGTTTATTTAAAGAGTTCCTTTGAAAATCGTAGTCTTTTAGGACTCGTGTTTCGTCTAGGGTATAAATATTGACCCTCGACCATTGTAATAGGCGTTCACAACCAAATCAATACAACCGGCCCCGTGCCAACTTTCGAGTCCTTTTGTCGTGTCGTCGAGTTCTTCGAGAGGAGTCATCGATCCGTCGACCTCCGTAAGTTCCGACAACCTTGTTATCATGTTTAGTATCATGCGGTGGATTTAGACGTGATGCAAGTAGTCTTGTTTGTTTTCAATGATCGTGCGGCGGATCTTTGCTTGACAATCAAGAAGTCTTTGCTTATACTTTGTTTATGAGTAGATACCGTGCGGCAGGCGTTTGCTCAATATGCTTAGTGGAAGCAAGACAGTTATCGGCTCTATTAGATTACGGCAAAATCTAAATAGATTCATCAAGTTATCCTGTGTTGCATGTTTTAAATATTTTATATATTTGTAACACACTTTTGCCCAATCTAGATTGATATTGTTCGGCTCTCTTCTATGGTTTTATTCGAGCTTCAATGATCATTACTTTTCATAATACCTTTGCAAATAGATAACATGCTCGTAATGGCTGAATTATTTTAATCTAGATTGTCACATGTTGTGGGTTCATGTATGTTAATCACGTTTAAGTTTTTGACGAAACTAGGTGTCGTGCGGCAGACGCAGGTTTTAGATTGGCTTAATCATGTTTATCTACACGTTCCTTCTTCATGGACCCCAACTCGGCTGGATTGCTGAGCTTGGATATGCATTAACGCATAATCAATTTCACTTGTTCAAACATGTCTTCCCATGCATATGCATTCGGCAATCAGATCTTTACGTATGTCCATCTTACGATCAGTAGAATGATTTATAAACTTGTTGGCGACGACTTCCTATAGTCGTATGTCGTTGTAAAATAACCGGGGTCAGTATATACTGAACTCTATGCGGTCTCACCGACATGTTCCGGTTTGACATTTAACTGTTTTATCCCTTGTCGGTTTCTTTCAGGTCAAATCGACCGGCACGCGTTCCGGATCACGAAGCACCGGGCATCCGATTGAAGCTTCGCTTTTAAACTTCTTTGTGTGTGTGTGCACAAAGGCGTCACATTTTGTGTCAACACACTTTTTAAATACGCCGGTGGGACAATCTGCTAGTTCAAGATGGCATCTGAGATCAACAATGATCATGTTCGGATGTAAGCATGGCGTAATTGCGAGATAATTACAAGGATTTAGTGCTACAAGCGTGTGAGCAATACCAACGGAAGTGCTTGATGTCTTTTTCAAAAACAAGAGCAATAAAGTATTTCAAAAGCAGTCAATGCCAAGGGTTCTTCTTCCGCATCAAACTGATTACCTTTGAAGAGGAGGATGCTTAGAAGATGGCAGCCCCAGTTTATAAAGCTATGGGAGAAACCATGACAAACCATCACACGACTTTTACGAATACCTTTCGGGCAATCATGATCGATACTTTTGGCCCAATGGTTGATAAATACTTGAGGAAAATGTTGGACCACTTAGTGGGCGGCGCTTTTCAATGT